CATACCCCAACATTCTTGCTTTCCCAGAGCTTATGAACACCGTAATCCACAGCCTGCACACATAAATTCAACATTTCATGTAAATATAATTCCTTTTGAATACGAAACACTATACATTGCAAGATCACAGGAAACAAAAAAAAAATCATTCAATTTCATGTAAATATGATCCCTTGTGAATATGAAATACTGTAAATTGAAAGATTACAAGAAAACAAAAAATCATACAATTTCATTATCGGTCTCTGGAAACAGCATCTAGAACCCAAAATCCAACAATTTTTACCATTTTCTTCTCAAAACTCCCACAAAAACCAGAGTCGCTAGCTCTCTATTGTAGATCGTTTATTCTATCCAACGAAATTTTCTTCACCACGATTATCATTTCACAGAAGAAAAAAATCCCGGATTTCGTTCCAATCAAACCATACAAAAAGCAGATCCGGAAAGTGACGAGCGCTAATAAAATTACCAAACAATTTAAAAAAACTCCAATTGATCTCTCACCCGTTCGCCGAAGAAAGCACCGGCGATGATGAACGTGACGTACACGGAGTTACGGCGCATGATAAGTTTGTAAAAGCCTTCGAAAGCTCCTCTCTGGTTTCTCCGAGCAGCGTACTCCATGATTAACCGGTTGATTGTTTGTGTTCCGGCACCTGAATCTCTAACGTATTCGATCAGCGATTTAGGGTTAGCAAAAAAAGGCGATCTACAACAATGGCGACGATGATGAGATTTCTCGCGACTAATCAGAAAAAAGGAATCTCTTTGACTCACTCCTTCGTATTTCCAAAGGCCATATGGGCCTCAATTGTTTGGCCCAGTAGGCCCGTTTACTTGATTATTATTTAATCTAAACTCTTAAAAAACTTGATTATTTGTATCCAAGTATCTGTGCACTCTAAAGAAATTGGCAATGTTTCAATGATTTTTAGGGTGAAAAATGGCTCCAACAATTTCATATGAAATTTATTAATTTTGTAGCCAACTTTTATGGCTTATAAAATTTATTAATTTTTAGACTGAAGACTAGCCTTGAATTTTAGAATTTTTATATCGACTAACATTGAAGTGGTTTGGATTAGGTATTGAATTTTTATGAATGTTTAGTATATCTTGGATAAATACTATCTTACTTATTTATGGTGTTATATGTATTCAGGGTATTTTAATATTCACAATCATATATAATTTGATTATTCATCGAAATGGGAGAGAGACACAAGCAATTTGTACATACAAAAACAGCATCTCTTCCATCTGATTTGATAAGGATTTTTGACATTGTCATCACTTCGTCTAAATCCATTAGCATTCGTGTTTATGTTGAGTGGATGGACTGAAAGCCGTATTGAATTCTGTTTACATGTTTTTATTTTTTTGCCATGGGATCATTTGTATAAGTTTTATAAATTCGTTGGTAAATCTAAAACATTTTCATTTTAATGAAATATTTACATTTTAGCAAAAAAGAAAACAGCACATCTTCTCATTCTACGTTCTATAAATACGCATGTGTGTCGGTTTATGACTCATGAAAACTAATCAAATTCGTTTTCTTGATCCTTAAGTAACTGAACAAGATTTCTTCTCATTTAGCACCATGTTCTCTCCTTATTCGCTTTGTGACAGAAGTATCTAACTCATGACGCGAAGAGAGATAGGACAACAGAAAAAGAAGTTAAGAACATGATTGGGTATTTTCCGGCACATGCAAAGAAAGCATTTGGGCAAATGTCACATTCAGAATTTGATTTTTTGACAAAAAAAACGTTGATTCGAAATAAATCTTCAGACACATACCTGAATCACCAAGC